GTAGTACAGAAATATTTTTTCCTTCTTTATATTAATTACGTTGATGGTTGACTGAATTGCTTGATTTTGATTAACTTTAATATTACGATATTTAATATGTCTTAGTGTGCAAACGTTACGCTTATATGTAATGTTGGGCTTACATATTTAATAAAGCAGGAAATTTCATTTGCTTGGGGCATGTTTATCGTGCAATTAAACTAAAACTAAAAGGAAAGATTAAGAATAGAATAGACATTATGATCAATTAAATTGTTTTAATACGATAGTTGAACGAACGAAGCGGACGTCACTAGAGCTCTCTGTACCCAATTAAGCTGCGCTCGATACCTGGTGTTATCACGGATGCGATCGATCCGAGACTCAGTTGGATCGTCGGTGATCCCAAATATTGACACTTGTAATACTAGCACCACACTACGACGTAACTCTGGATTGCTTGTGCGAATAAAATATAGAAATGATTTTTTTTAATCGCATATCCTATGGGAACATTTTTGATTAATGTTTAGATTATTGTGGCTAGTTACATATACAAAAGTAATCCCTTGTATAAGATAAATATCACGTGGGCTAAAAAGTTCGTAGGCTGACACAGAGATGGCGCTACTAGTACTAAATTAATATGATTTTTAGTCAACCGTAGTCAACGTTTAATATACACGTGTATAAAATTGAAAACTGTCGTAATTTGTTTGCATTTTGAGTGAAGGAACCTATCAATATCTCGAATATTATATAATATGTTGAAACGAAAAAACTTGTCATTTTTTTTATACTTAATTATTGTCACCCTTGTCGACACGAGCTAGGCGTCGATGCAATACTGTAAACCCACCTATAAAGTACAGGTATTATTTGTGAGATGCTTAAATTTATTAGTCCAATTCTGCATTCACGGAATAAAATAAAATAAAAATTCAAGAAGTACATGCGACTTATGAAGTACAAGTAGGTACATATAATCATAGACATGAAAACTCTATGATTATATGTACCTTCTTGTACCTCTGCACTATGCACTTTTCTAAATAACCTCTATTGAAGCAAGCCGTTGATAAATGTAATGTTCTTGCCTGATTTTCCTTTTCAGCTGATGTTAAGTTATACTACCGCCCATGGATACTCTCAATAATACATATTATACTTAGAATTGTTTTCCTGGGACTCAATCGTAGACTTTATAGCTTGTCTCGTATAATGAGGTAGTGCGTGACCAATTTACACACGAAAGCGGCCATAAAATATATCCAAGTAAGAATAAAAATGAAAATTGCATCAGATGTCACACTCGTGGGAAAATGTTATGGAACAATGACGCTTTCCATTTCATGTTTAATTTGTTATGTCTATATATATATATCTACGTAGTCGGTCCCAAAGTTCTGTCATGAATGGAAATAATCATAAAAACAAAAGTACTGATCAGTTTTTAATGAGTGATATATCAATTCATAGTACATTAATTAAGGAATAGAAATAGCATAAACTTATTCGAAATGACCTCCCTTATTTTTAATACAGGCCCTTAAGCGCCGCGGCCAGTCGTCTATCGCAGCACGCACCATATTCATGTCGATTTCAGTGACTGAGTTTTTTAAAGACGACTGCAGACTCTCCAAATTTTTATGGGGTGTATCACAGACCTTCCTCTCTAAGACCTGCCAAAATTTATAGTCCAAAGGATTAAGGTCCGGACTGGAGGAAGGCCAATCCTCATGTCTAATTAAATCGATGTTTTGACGCTCAAACCAGGCTTTAGTGGTCTTGGCTTTGTATGCAGGCTCAAAGTACTGCTGGTACACGAAGTGATGTCCCGCAAATAGGGTGCTGGACAGGTCTTTGACAAGGCGATCCAAAACCGTCTCTCGGTACACTTTAGCTCTGGTTTTGACCCCCTTTTTGCAAAAATTAACCTCAGTTAGCCCGTAATAGGACACTCCCAACCAGACCATTACTGATGATGGATGATGTCCATGTTGCACCTTTGGAACTTTATTTTTAGCTTCTTCAAAACTCCTAGCGTACACTGTATCAATCTGTTTATTGTACTTCTCTTCAATATCGAAATTTTTTTCGTCCGTAAAGAGGATATCACGGTGTCGGTTTTTCGCGTACCGCTTAAACAACACCCGCGATCTCTTAAGCCTTATTGCTTTTAGACGAGCATTAAGTAAGTTCCCACTTTTTTTGTATGCTCGTAGACCAAGATCTTCATTTAAAATTCTTTTTTATTGTTTTCCTACTGACACCCATCTGCAAAGCCATCAACTTCTGTTTTCGGACAGAATTTCTTACTATCCGCGCTTTGATAGCTTTGATTACTGCTGGTGTTCTTGCGGAGCGTGGCCGGCCAGTTCTTTTCTTGTCCTCAACACTGGAGACTTCAAGGTACCTATCAATAGTACCGTACACAAACCTAAGCGTTATATTAAAATTTTTGAGCAACTTGAAAATGGTACTCGGCGAGTGCCCACAGCGGTGCAACACAATAACAACTATTCGGTCTTCTTTCAATGTCCACTCCGTCGTGAAAAATTACTGAAAGTTATTGTTTTTTATTTTAAAACAATAGTCAAACATTCCAAAATAGAATGCAATAACTTTTTTATAAAATCCTGCTCGAAATTTAGAAATAATGTGCCAGTGACAGAACTTTGGGACCAACTACGTATATATATAAAAGAAAAATGGTCTTCGTTTGAGGCTCCTTCACGCCTAAACCACTGATCGTATCGACATGAAACTACCACCATTCGATGCGAAATTTTTCCTAGATGGTTTATGGCTATTTATTTATTAAATTCCAACGTTCCTTCATTTTTTTATTGCTGTTTTACTTTTATGAAAATTTATCCATACGGACTTCACCGCGGAAACATTCGGGGAGGCTTCCTAGAACCTCTAAACGTCAACATCTGTTAAAAACTCGATTTTCGAAATATTTCAATTTTCTTAGCGGGAAGTTAAAAAGAAGAATAATAAAATTTATTTTAATTCGTCCAGCAAAGCGGGCGCGAAACGGCTAGTATATATATATATGAATGTTAGAAATAATTTATTTGCACCAGTCTTATGACAGAATTTACATTTCGGACTTTCGTTTAATGCCAGCATTTTTTAAGGAATACAAACAAAGTCTATCCCACGTATACAACCAATTCAGCATAATATTGTTTTTTTTTTTTTTTTTAAAGACAATTCACACCAATTGACCGAGTCCCATGCTAAGCTGGTGAAGCTTGTGTTATGGGTACTAGGCAACGGATATACATACATATTATAGATAGATAGACATATAAATACATATTTAAACACCCAAGACCTAAGCACAACACCAAATACTCATCACATCGATGTTCGTCTCAGCCGGGGATCGAACCCGGGACCCTTGGATTCGCAGTCACGGGTACTAACCACTAGACCAATGAGTCGTCTAACTAAAATAAAGCTGATTTAGTAATCGAATTGATATGTAACGTTATGGAATTATTTTCCATACAGTCGCAGTCACACGGTGTTGCATAATGCATTGTTTAAATTGTTGGCTGCACAACTGAACTCTTCCGATAAAATACAAGTTTTAAGTGTATACCTGAGCGATTCAATCTAAATGCCCGTGTTATAATATAGAAGGCTTAAAATATATAAGTCTTGACTCTTAAATGTCAAAATTTAATACATTTGTTGTTTGTGTCATTAAAAATTGTTTCAAGAGAAATGCAATCTACCGTACTTATTAAATGTATCTTCAGGTACTGTTGGTGTTACTTTGTTTCTTTCAAAATACGCAACTTGCAATATTGATTTCGGCCTTCAGCCAAGCCTTTTTAAATATTTGTTAAAAAAGTTTTCTTTTTTTATTGAATTGGATATCGGGAAACTGAGTTTACTTTTTATACTGTAAATATTATAATAAAGAATAAATGTATATAGATGTGTAATATTTTAAATTTAAATATATTACAGTTGTGTGGGTATTGGATCGACTGGAGCGCTATAGGTATATTGCTATGTAACCTTACCCTCTTAACGAGTCATATAAAATCTTTCACGCTATGTGCTTATTCAAATTTATTCAATTCCACGCCGTTCCATGTGGAAATGAAACGTCTCGGTGCGTTTCCGTGCGGAACAGCATCCCTCGAACGGAAGATGGAGGGTCGCTGCGGGACGCCGTAGATGATTGCATGTTATTGATTGCGTCTTAAAGATACACAGACCACTACTATTCTTGTTGAAGTCTCTATGAGATATTTGTAACCGGTGAACCGATTTTTATATTTTAATGTATGGGCCCCATATACATCGAAGCTATTCTTATATTGTTTTAAAATTCACATTGTTCCACGGTTAACAGATAGACATTTTGGACATAGTGATTTAATTCGGAAGGGACAATATTTTGGTGCAGACGAACTGATGATGCAGGCCATAGACGATCCACATTTTTTTATTCTATCTCGTTTTGTGTTATTTTTCCAGGCATTTACAACGCTTTATAACCTTGTAATTACCAGAAAATAGTTTAACATTTTGAATCAAGAATATTATTATGAGATTTGTTTTTTTTGTTATATCGAAAGCAATTCGAAATCAAAATACAATTAATATTAATCACAGGTTTCCTCGGTTCACAAACTACTCTATTTAAAAAACCGCCGTGTTTTGATTTCCGATAGCTTCTTTGTAACAGTAACAATATTTAATTACGAGTTACGTAAGCACAAATTGCTGCCGTTACAAAAGTCGCTAGAATATAAAATATATTATTTTTTGTGACATCACTAAAAGTAAATTAGGTGACGTTGAGTTTAAACAACTGTTAGTGGTGTATTCACACTATTTAACAATTTACATTCAACGAATATGGTTGTTAATGTCGAAATGAGTCTTAGTGTGTGAGAACCACACGCACACGAAGACAACACCTGAAATCTACATTATATTGAATAATTGATTTTACCAGATAAAGTATCTAAATTATTAGGTGTCAGAAAATGCGTTCTAGTACAAAGACACAAGCTAGGTGGATGTCGGAGAGAAGTGTAGTGGATGTAATTTCCTGTGACGTCACTAACTCAAGTGAAGCATTTCAATTTAAATGTCGAGCAGCCTCCAGGTGAAATGAACACTATCAGATGTTGAATTCACACTTGGAATGTTTGAATGCATGTCTAACAATCCGATGACATTCAAGAATTTTCAATTTTCCGAGATAACAAAACACGGTTGTTCCAAATGGACACAAGCGATTGGTAAATAGACTCTTCAGCTAACGGGTTAGTATATTTAAAGGTTTGTTCGATCGTAATCGAACTCTATAGTTAGTTCTATAGTAGGTATGTAACCTATACAGTTTTTGTTTCATAACATGGCTTAATCGAGGGTATGAGTTATATAGCTGTTATGTTTTGGCCGTGTCTTTTGACGCAACTTTGTGCCCTTTAAAGAATTGAATTGACAACAAAAAAACTAATTTCTGAATTGTATTCATTAAGTACACTACACGTGCTGACGATTTAATAGTTAAGGGAAAAGTTAAATAACACTCGATATTAGAAGAAACTTCATAGAGTATTAGAGGTGTAATGTCGAACAATAATCTAATGATCCGCATTTACGTTATTTAGTGTCACGTTGCTCAAATTGGCCACACGTTGGAGCGGTGCCAACGCGGAAAACAATATTAAATTCGCAAATCTTTCGGCGGCGATTCCCCGGCGGGTGGTGCACGCTATTCCGACTACCGCCTCCTTGGAGATGATTTTTCATTCGCACCGCAACGTATTTCACAGTGCGAAATATTTCCCTCAACAAACGAATTCTTTCACTCCTCTCTCTCTCGGGGCGCAGGCTTTGCAAATTACCCCTCAAATGCAGAAAGACCCGCTGCTCGCAATGTTTATCTAATTCGACGGTATTTTATTACGTGCGCCAGCTTTGCGCTGAAACGGTCGGAAGGAAATGGCATCGTACCGAAATGGGATTAGTTTTTAATCGTATCAAAGCCTCGAAAATGACTTGCGGGCAGTGAACGATATCATAGTGCGGAGAAGTCCTAACACTTTGCAAGTTTTTACCTTGACTCAGAATCGATTTTATTCCTCATAAAATACTGGATAGAGCAAGATCCCAGGGCCGCCAGACGTCACGTATTTTCTGACGGATGAAATGTGGACGATTGGGTAGTGTTAGTATGTACTATGATCGTATGCCTACCTGCTAGCTTGGTCAAACGGCCAATTTCCAGGTATCAGGTAATCAAGGTACACAAAAACATTACTTACTTCACGTAAATTCTCATGGCTGATTTTTATATATGTTTTCGAGTGTATAGTTAAAAATAAATTGTCAATCCTCCCAGACACTTTCCGTCGGCCATATTGCTTAACAGACGCTTTAAGGGTCTCAAAATAATTAGTCAACTTCACGTAAATTCTGACGCTCCATTTTTATATATGTTCATCCGACAACTATTTTAAAAGCTTTGACAAGAAGACAGACCGATCCAAGGGGCCAATCATCCCCTAAACTAAATTTTAATATCTCTATGAGTGAGAGAGCATTATCTACGCGCATGAGACTGAGTGAGACCGACTGCGCTGTTAAAGCCATGAAAATTACTTGAACAGATATTTTATAATTTTTAGAACTTTTGTTGACAAGTAAATTATAGCAACAAAAATAAGAAAAAAATTGACACATAATAAATAATACTAAAGTTAGCCGACATTTTTTTTTTTTTCAATTTATTAATTAGAACTAAAAAATATTTTTTAAAAATACCACTTATATTTAAATAGCAGCATTTTTTTAAATTAATTATTTATTGGAAATTTGGAAATAAAGTGGAAAAATATTAATTCTTCAATATTTCTTAACAGTGGCTTTTAATCTTCATTATCATCATCATCAAATATCAATCTTGAAATTGAATATCTAAATCGTGATCGTCATCATCAGCATTATCCTTATTTTCTTCCTCTGTAAAAAACCAGTTAAACAATGAAGGTCTGAAAAAACTAAAAAGATACAAATAATATGAGAAACGAAAATAATTTACCTGATTGTTCTTCCAGCGACTCACTGACAAAACCCGGTAATTGATCTCCATCGAACCGATGAAAATCATATTTACCATCTTGTAGTGTCCAGCCATTGTTTTCGGGGTTGAAAATATTTATCATCTTCATACTTGCATTGTTCCAAAGCTAGCCCGTCGAAACTGTTGCCAAAGCTCACTTTTACAAGGTGGTAAGTTACTGGCATCGAAGTTTCTTAAATTCTTTCGATTGAATTCTTCATTTATATCAGATACCATGTATGTAAATGATAAACAACTGTAGTCTGGCAGCATCTACATCAATTATTCCAGGAAAATTGTAAACATCACAGATAAATTTTTGTATTATGTTGAATACACGTTCTTCTTCATCTACATCACCAACAAAATCCAACGTACCAAAACGGTGAAATGCTTTGTTGGTACTCTTCATTTTTCTTCAAAATATTAAACGGCTTTTGCTTGCCCTTTTTGAATAATAATAATTTTTCAAGTAATTTTCATGGCTTTAACAGCGCAGTCGGTCTCACTCAGTCTCATGCGCGTAGATAATGCTCTCTCACTCATAGAGATATTAAAATTTAGTTTAGGGGATGATTGGCCCCTTGGATCGGTCTGTCTTCTTGTCAAAGCTTTTAAAATAGTTGTCGGATGAACATATATAAAAATGGAGCGTCAGAATTTACGTGAAGTTGACTAATTATTTTGAGACCCTTAAAGCGTCTGTTAAGCCGATATAGCCGATATGGCCGACGGAAAGTGTCTGGGAGTATTGACAATTTATTTTTAACTATACACTCGAAAACATATATAAAAATCAGCCATGAGAATTTACGTGAAGTAAGTAATGTTTTTGTGTACCTTGATTACCTGATACCTGGAAATTGGCCGTTTGACCAAGCTAGCAGGTAGGCATACGATCATAGTACATACTAACACTACCCAATCGTCCACATTTCATCCGTCAGAAAATACGTGACGTCTGGCGGCCCTGGGATCTTGGACCAGGAGGATATTTCTGTTATTGTCCTACACATGTATTGTGTAGCAGAGATTAAAAAAAATTAAAAAGCTTTACCTAAATGCCGACCTATTTCTTTTCTAATCTACAATTTACAGTAAGATAATACAACTTACAATTAAAGGAGATTTCAGTTAATTATCTGGCAACACTGATCACGAAGTATCCACGTAGCAGGCTCCATTCGTATGGCGAACGCGTCGGGCTAATAAGATCAACTGTAGGTACGCAGTCGTGAGTAAATCGCTTAAACGGATTTTCACGTAGTCAACGAAGTAAAGTAATTGGGGATGGCTTAAAAATTTGTCCTCCTATGTAAGCTTTATCCGCATTTATTATACTTGAATATTCTTATGGAATACGAAATTATTTTTTTTGGAAACTTATTATTTAAAAAAAATTTAAATCCCCCTATAACATCACAATTTCTATTAAACCAGCGATACTTTTAATACACATTACTTTAACTGAAGAAAACGCTTTTAAGAAGTTAACTCTAAACGACTTTATCCATATTCATCTCAACTGCCACTTGCTCTTTTGCACTTACCTTTGCGGGCTTAATCTGCGACGGAACTAGACAAACTCGACGAGCGTTTAACTAATTCCAACGATACTGAAACTACTTAATAAAGAAGTAATTAACCTCACTGCCGTCTGCAAGAGATGGATTTTGAACTTTAGCCGCGCATTCGCAGCGAGCTCTAAGTACTATTCAGAGCTCATTTAGGTTTTGCACCTTTTCTATTTAACCGGCGACAGACAAGACGCTGCGCGGTGACCTTCTCGTTTTGCAATTTGTTTCGAGTGTTGATGATTTATGAAAACTCTTTTTTATACAGAACTCGCTTGTTTTCACTTTATTCATGTTGTATTAGATAATGAAGCGTTTTTGCTATTTATTTAAGAGCATTTTTCTTTAGGGTTATATGAACTTTACTTTGGTTCTTACTAAAGTGTCTTTCAATGATTTTCTACTGAATACGAATTATTTTAAGCTAAATATATATATTACGTCACGTCACGTTTGTTAGATATCATCTATTTATTTACAAGTTCTTAAACAATATGCATGCTTAAAATATGACGTTACAAATTTTACACACATTCATCATTTATATTACATACAAGCAAGACAAAAAAGCATAAATAATATATTATATCATCTGCTAGATATATTCTTCATCGTCGATTGCCATGATTCTGACAACTTTAGTCTTCAATCAACAATTAATTTTCGAGTTGAAAATCGTGATAAAAAGTATTAATTTCCTTGTATTTAATAATATACCATAATCACTTGGTAATATAGTACAACGTGTCCTCGGTGTATGTTAGCAAGTAGGTGAAGTAGGTTTATAGTTGATATTAAGAAGGCAGCGTCGAAGTGCTAATTGTATGTAAGTGTGCCGTGTGTGCACAATATGTTGGCGTATCGCTTCCATGACACTCCACTTAGGGCGTGAAGCCTTGAAGTGTGCGATGTGTGCACATGACGCGGAAACGTATTTAAAAACGACTAGATATCTCCTTTGGGTTTGCTCAAATCATAAATTATTGTTATCAATAATGGTTTTTCAAATTAACAATGTACAATATAATCGTGTTTGTGGGTTCTTCATTATATTTGAGGCAATACCTAACGTATAGCATTTCAACTCACCTTGTCCGTTAGCTCTGTTATTTCACAACTAAACTCCACCTAAGGACAATGCTCGCCCCCGCACTGTTCTGGCGACGTGGTAGCCGGCCCATCCAGCTGGAAGTTCTGACCTTAATCTAATTGAGCATGCCTATGATGTTCTAAAGAGATCAATAATTTTAGAGTGTAAGATCAGTGCAACCTGCTCCACAGAGCATCAGGGAGCTAAAAAGAGTGATTGCAGCAGAGTGGGAACCTATTGCTTAAAATGTTATTAAAAACATCGTGGAAAGCATGCCCAGAACGACGCAAGCTGTCATTTTGGCAAGATTAGGGCACACTAGTAATTAGGTTTTTACATTTGTAACTTTATTTAATTTAAAAAAGACCTTGCCAGAATTCACTTCAAGCGTATTAATTTACATGATTATAAGTATACAGTAGACTACGTTAGACAATTACATTTCATTTAATGAACTGACATCGACCTTTGAACGTGAATTTCTTTAGGGGCCCGTTTTTTTATGCAAGAGTTTATACAAATAAACATTTCGTTGATTACGTATTTTCTTATTGATAAAACTAATAAAAATAAAAGAAAGATACAGTTATTACAGGCCTATAACAAAAACGTCTGTTTTAATTGGGATTTTGATGGAGGAAATAAGCAACTATAATTATGAAAATTCAAATTTTGCGTAATATTGTCCTGTTAGCCGATACCGCTAATTAACTAAACTATGCTCTTAAAATTTAATTATTCGACTGTTTTGGGTCGACCCTGTTGGGTTAATCTCTTGTTTTATTCACTACTTTGCCTTATCAATGGTCTTTGTGAGATAATTGAGGTAACAATACTATATAAACTAATGTTATAGCGCTGCAGCTTCCAGGCGGAATATCAATTTAATAGGTTTCATACATGTGTGCAGTGCACATATTGTAAATGATTTGTTTGTTTTTCTGAACTTTTGGGATTTTGGGTCTCAGGTTATCCCTCGAAACATGAAAGTTAACTGGAGGCTGTCATTTGGCAATCTATGTAAATTGTTTAACGACTCTGCCCTCCCTCGGCCGTAGTGCACTTAAGGCATTAACATTTTAAACCGTTATTTGTACTGAGCACACAATTACTTGGCCATTTAAACTGATTAGCCGCCGTTGAGTGGCTCGAATATTCTAATTAGGTGCCACTTTGGTTGCTTATTTAGCTTTTGTTTTAAATAGGTCTCGCCTTTACTTAGCCGTGCATTTCCAGTGGTTATGTAATAGAACACTCGGTTTATCAATATAGAAATAGAACGGAAACCTGAAATTAATGCTAATACGAAAAGTAGATTAAAATACTTGTCAGTGAGTGAAACTACCGGATTTCCCACCGACTCTTATCGATAAACACGAAATGGTTTGAGAGTTTAATGAATATTGGTGTGACTTTGAATATAAAATGTACGTACCATCAAACATTTGGGATGAAACAAATAAAAATACATCCATTGTCAGTAAAGTTGGTAAAAGCAATTTTTATAAAATATTGGCCCACTATCGAAAATAAATGCTAATGTGTTAGAATTTTACGTGTAAAATAACATGGTATCAAATGTCGCTTGTGAAGTTGATATTCTACTAAAAGCATATTCCGTGCTTGTCATAATATCTGACTGATTCAGGAAATGTTTGAAAACATTAAACATTTATTTTGTGTCAAATTTATAGTTATAACGCCTATTTAGTTAATTATATTGACTTGTAGGCGGTAAACTAAACTTCAGTTTATCCGCAAAAGATAATATTACTGATTATTATCATCCTTGAATAATGCTTTATTTATTAAAAATAAAAATATATTAAAACTACCAACATACAGGTGAAATTCTTTGCTTGACAAAATGTTACGTGACCTGCACGTTTAGTTCTTTGTATTCATAAAGGCGCGCTCGCGTCGTTCTACGAGTAAACATTTCTAGAACCTTCCTAAACCGGGATGCTTCTCGAAAGCCCCGTCCATTTAACACTCTTCTAATTTAAAAACACTTATTTTGCTAGGGTTTATCTTATGTGTTTTAAAAAGATTGCTAACACTTTCAGTTCTTGCTGAACAAAATAATGGCTCAAAATCTAAAAGTATGCTATTTAGCAACATTGTATCTATTAATTTATTAGTAAGTTTGCAACGCTAGTCAGGCTCACAGGATGCATATTTCAGTAGCACTAGAGGGAATTCGCACCAGTTGTCTCTATCACAATGCACCTTGCAAAGTGTGATGCAAATACTTATGCGAGTGCGACAAGGGCTAATAAATCATTCATAATATTTGTCTCTTACAATGGAATACTCTGAACTCTACGAGGATTTTTTTAAATATTTTATAATAATACATATATATAATAAGTTGAAAACTACTTGGGCCACCACAAATACTTGTACGGTGGTCGCGAGCGAAGTTGTTTTACAAGCGCAACATGTGTCGTCTACGATTTATTATTTAATATAAGGAAACGGAATTGAACCCCGCGGCCATGATAAAAGCTAAAGCGTGACATGATTGCTCGTAGACAAAGAATATGTGCAATATTTTTTAGCGTTAAAATTACCCAGCAACGGGATTTAGCGTTTGCGTTCAGATATGAATGTAATTTAATAGGGATTCGCCGTTCTTTGTCGACTGGATGCGAGATAAAATACAATAATACGGTGTGAATATTGAAACAAAAAGGGTGAAGGGCGGTTCCCTCATTATGTGTTTTGTATCATGGTTTCAGATCTCAAAAGACGGAATAAATTTAAAATATCCTTCTAATAGAATGATATAAGATACCACAGATATTAAAATTTACTATAATTATTTTTGACAGCATTTTAATAGAGACTATTTTTCTTTTTCAGAGCGCAAGTTATTTGTGGGAATGCTCAACAAGAAGCTATCAGAGAATGATGTTAGAGCGTTGTTCGCGGGACACGGCGCTATAGAGGAATGTACAGTGCTAAGGGACGCACAGGGCCAAAGCAAAGGGTGTGCATTTGTAACATTCGTCTCTAAACAAGCTGCAATTGCTGCTATTAAGGTACAATTAACAATACTTTGTCAAATAAAAAAAAGTATATAAGATTAATACATAAGGCAAGATTTAACACATAAATACTACATTATATGATATTTAAAGTAATATTTTTAGTTCAATCTGCTTTTAACCATTGTGACGTTTCACAAAATATGAAATTTTTTTTACAAGTCGCGACTTTACTAGTGTTATTATTATTTAGTTCACACATAAAACTACTTTAACATTTAATTTACATAATTCCAGACGCTTCATCACAGTCAAACCATGGAAGGTTGTTCGGCACCACTTGTTGTGAAATTCGCGGATACGCAAAAAGAAAAAGAACAAAAGAAACTGCAAGCAATGCAGGCGAGCCTCTGGGGCCTGACGCCTGTGACGCCGACTTATCAGCTGCCTTCGGAGGCGGCCTTATCACCGGCAACGCAGCTGCAATTGTTGCAGCAGTTGCAGGCGGTTGGACTGCAGCAACAGCTTCTACAAGGCCAAGGCTCAACGTTGTTACAAGGTAAGGTAGTAATAGAATATTTTAGGCTCGCGATGATATTACACACATGAATAGAAAATCTATACTTATTAAATCAAGAAATAAACATTCAACACAATAAAATGTATTACCACATTTAAGTACATTTTAAATAGGTTATATACTTGCTTGTGTGAATATTCTTTGCTTTCATATACTTGGTTGAATAATTAAGTTAAAGCTTTATTACCTAGTTAATGATTCTTTAAAGTACATAATTAAAAAACTACGCTACAATTTCATAATTAAAAACGAGCGCCGATTTAAACTAAGTAGATAATTACGCATTCAGTTTGAGGAAGTTTTGCAATTATCCCTATTTTAAATATCTACGCTTAACCTAGTTTGTCCCTTTAATTTTTTCATTTTTTTGGTGATTCATTATTTACAATTAATATTGTAGTAGGTAAATTGTTGATTCGCTTCTTTCTTTTTTATTTTGACCCCATACAACCTTATTGATTTTGTTGTCCTATTTTTGTTAATTTGCGTTTATTTGGGTGTCTTAGGTATTAACTACCCAGATATCGCTTTCAATGGCGCAGGGCTTAGTGGCGGAGCGGTGAGTGGGGTTGGGACAATTGGTGGATCGGACCAACTCAGTGGGCTTCTAGCGCCCGTGTCTGTACAGAACTTAGCTGCGCTAGCGGCCATAACGCAGCCCCCGGTCGTGACGCAAGCGGCGCCTATGGCCCCCGCTACGGCCCAACAGCCTGCAGCGCCACAACTATGTAAGTATATGAAATTATATCTTCACAGAAATATTCATAAAAATTCCTTTCAACGGAAATTTTGTCAAGAGAGGATTTGTGGCTTTAACAAAGAAAATTGCATTTAAAAGTTTTAACTACCAGAATTGTGTACGAAAACATCGTTCCTGAAGTATGCAATCAAAATTCAAATATTCGGCATAAAGTATTTTCAGTTTTGTTTAAACGTAAATAGAGGCTATAAAATACTTAAAGTATCAATCTGGCAGGCTTAATTGACGTTTTTGCTTCGTCCTCGGCCCCTTCCGTCTACCGTCCCCGGAACAATTACGCCTCCATAAATTCGCTCCTAATTGCTGAACCTGTCCAAATCTCTAATTGGAATGTAGCCACATAAGATATTCGTACTTATAACGATCTCTTTTCGCCCGCAAACATTTCCTCTTTCAGATTGTGCGTCTTTATAACGTTGACAGATTAAAAAAGAGGTTTAATAACGAAACTTTTTCACACTTCAGGTCTTCTCGGAAAGACTAACATCACAGGTAATCCATCGCCGGATTTGAAATTTGTGTTATGGAATGACAATTTTATCTAATGCGAGTTTATGAATCATCGAATGCGATAAATGAGTTTTATTTTGTTCTTTTGATGCTTTTATCAATGCTACGATTATTCCCGTTATATACTTCTTATGTATCAGGAGTTATATAATGCTAAGATTGAGCTTTTACTTAGATCTTTATTTACCTCCAACATCCTAAATAATATTAACAATAAATGTAATACTATAAAGAGTAAATGTGTTAATACCTATAGACTAAAACCCTTCCTGTCAAGCAAAATACTTCCAGAGCAGAGTTGTCACTCGTAAAAGTCCATTAAATAAAATGAATATACGGCTATTATATCCAATATTTAAGAAAAATGTTACTTGTTAAAATCTCATTTATCGTATATTCTGTGGCTGGCTTGTATTGTTTTCTGTGCATTTTATCCTTTTCTCGTCGTCTACCAAGGCTTTGTAAAATGCATTTTCGTAATTCACCAACGTCTTAATCTTAACTTAATTATTAATAATTGCTTAAATAAATAGAATGTAATGTCGGTTCTGGTGCTTCTCGATTATAGATTTTCGACTGACTATTTTAATTCAATAAGAGAGTGTTGGCCTAGTGTCTGAAGCGTTCACCTCACAACCCTTAGTACATTCGACGGCTGTGCATAAATAACACTCGTTTGTTCGGTGAAGAAAACATCATGAGGAGACCGGAATGCCTTAAATCTAAATATCGACGGCGTCAGACATAGGCTGATCACCTTATAAAGAAAAATTATCACGAAACAGATACAATAATCTGAAGCCAACACTTAGAGGATGTAGCGCCACTGGTATTAGTCAGTACCTAGTGTTAGGTAGATGTTATATTTCTGTACTGCATAGTGCATAGATATCATTATATAATGTGTAGTATGTAGAAAACTTTACGTTGTTTAAATTGACTTTTAAATGTACATAATTCATTAATTTATTATATTTATGGAACGATTAAATCAGCAACATTTATAACAAAATGTTTCTTAAAAACAGTACAAAATAGTCATTAAAAGTACTTTTTAAACTGTGCATTCATTTAACAAATAAGCCGAATAGTGCATGGGACGTGATAAAAAATATCTTTGTAGATGCATATCTAAGGCTGTGAATCATTGGTTTGTTGTTCGCTAAATGAATTATAAATAATCATTGTGTATTGTTTTTTTTTTGTTTGGCATTGTTATTCTACTAACCATAAGTTGTCGTTGTCAACTTTTTATCGCTATCATCGTCTATTATAATAATATCAAATAACATTTGAATTAACCTAGTGTTAAGTTTGTCGTTTGTTAACTGTTTGAGTAATTAAAACAATTTATTTGCATGGTTATTTGTTGCCATCGTTAAATTTAAGACAGAACATTTCCTTATTTATTTACAAAACTGAATATTGGCTTTACGTCCTTAGACGATAATTTCAAATACATGAATGTGTAATGAGTTTGTTAAGAATACTTTTAACTAACACTATATTACTGTTGTAATTGCATTTCCCTTTTTTTCTTTATCATCTTAGCTCGGACCTAACATCATCTCCAATAAATAATATTGAAAATTATAAAAAATGATTAATATATTTTCAGGGTCAACAGCTGAACCTCTAAGCTCTGCGTACGCGGCACAGTTCGGTACTTTCGCTGCGGCGCCCTTGGGGTCTGTGCTTGGTACCGCCGCTGCTGCAGCTGCTGGGAAACAGGTTGAAGGTGGGACAATACTTGATAGATATAGCTAGCTAATATTAAAAATTACATATTTATAGAAACCATCTAAGGGAGCGTTCAAGTATTACGTCACGCAATTTTTGGAGATTATATTTTGACCACCCGCCCCATGTAACGCGCCGTAACGTTTTTCTGTACCCAAGTACAGTACTGTTCTCAAGTATAGTAAAACGTTTCGTGACCACCTAGTGACTCTTTATACCTAAAAGTTACCATTATGTGGTGTAAAGTACTGGAAATAATATTAACAATAACGCGTAATTCAAGGAAACGATTCCCCGCATCGTAACGTTTTACAAAAGAAACCCCCCCCATTCGTTACGTAATACTTGAACGCTCCCTAAGAACGAATTTCTCAATTGTATAAGTCGTGATCTATTTGTTCCTTACCATCCCTATTTAACTTGTAGGCCCGGAGGGCGGCAACCTGTTCATCTACCACCTGCCGCAGGAGTTCACGGACACGGACCTCGCGTCCACCTTCCTGCCCTTCGGCCACGTGATATCCGCCAAAGTGTTCATAGACAAACAGACGAACCTCTCGAAGTGTTTCGGTTTCGTCTCGTACGACAACGCCGCGTCGGCGCAGGCCGCGATACAGGCCATGAACGGATTCCAAATCGGTACAAAGAGACTCAAAGTTCAATTGAAACGTTCGAAAGAGCTCTCGAGACCGTACTAGATGAACGGTGGCGAGTGAATTGTGAACGTAATGGTTGTTTGACATTAGTTGTGATGTATCCGGTGCACTCGAACGGCTAGCTGTAAGGAAATGAGTCCATGTGCACAGTTGTTAACTAATAAGTGTAAGCTTAAGGTTTGTGTCGATGCTGAGTGCTAACTGGAAATAACTAATACTAAGCGAGAACATGCAGTATTCACATTTTTTGTCCCAAATTTGATAACACTAAATGAAATTGCCGACTCTTTATCAATCACAAATCACGCTTAGTATTTTTTAATGTTGACCTCAGCAAAAAATTTATCGTTTCCAAAGTATTCCCCAAAATCATTTATAGCTATCGTGTTATTTTATTATTAAATTTTAAGTCATATTCTATTTAGTTGCGTTCTAAAACCAATAAACGAAGACGCCAAAGAGCTGAGACAACTTTTTTTCAACGAGTGTCATATTTTTAATTTAAGTTTTAGTCCAAAGAGCCGCACTACCGTTTTGGTACTGAGGCCAATGTTCAGCAATTTGTAGCGGCCTATTTTCGCTTAATTTTAACAATTCAATCAAAAGGAAACAGGCCGTTCAAAGTTAACGAACTTGGGCATAAAGTAATTATAGTTATTATTTACTACTTGTTACTACGAATAAATAAATATGTTATTTTCAAATATACCTGTATTTGTTACCAACAAATGTGGCCATTTTTTAAAGCAGACTTTTAGAGTTCTTTGATTTAAAAATAAGGTTTTAGGTTAATAAGATGATCTCAAAGTGATCAATGTGTTTATTGTTTACCTTGTTGTCTGTCGTAGTGTACTTAACATGTGTTTTAACAAAGCTTCGATTCGTAGAACTATAAAAGGCTCGTATTCCGAGACTTATATGGAACCGAATCTAGTTAAAAAACTTGTCAAATGATTGATTATCTACTAAGTTTGAAGTTTAGGAATACGGGTTATAATTTCTGTAAAAGAAATTCTAGACAGATGAACTTTTTATCGCAAATGACCACACCTCGGAACATCGAACGCTGATATAGTCAAAATGTCTTAGTATTTAAGTATTTAATATATTATACTAAGTTTGTGTAAGTTTCACTTTCTTTCAACTTCTATTCGTTTAGCGACGACCACCTAGCACATATGCTCAATTCTGCTTTTACTATGTTTAGTATGTTTAAAAATATATATATATATATGGCACTTACGTGGGACTTTACACCATATTTGATTAGATGTTTCTTCTTAAAATTAAGTGTTCGTATAATTTTCTTATAAAAGTTATTTAGAAAATTAAATAAAAACATATTTTAATACCCTACTTAGATTTGTGCCAATTATAAACGTTAATTTCGGCAAATTGAGAGTTGCAGTTATTCTAACTGGTTAATAACGAAACTGTTTTGAAGACAGCGCTATCTACCGTTTGCGCGATTTTTAGATTACAATTGTTTGACATAACGAGTTTCACGATCGGTATTGCTATGTTGTGACATACTACTGAAAAAAATCATGTTATTTACAATTTATTCTGGCTTTTACTGTACTTATATTTAGCAAATTATACTATATGACTTTATTTATAGTCTTAAGTTGCGGCCCCACTAGAGCCCTGGAACACATTTGATTTTTAACCAGAACAAGTTTCGCATTTGTAGATTAGATAGCGATGCAGGTACTGATGATGATGGAGCACCTAAGTGGAGCCGTAGCAATTGTTAATTTTAGTCTGGTCTCGGTGTCTAAACAAAGACAATACCAATATTTAGACTGAATAAGTTCCCTTTTCTTTATTCATATCAAACATATTATCAAAACTAACATTTCATTTAATTTATTGAAACGGGTCGTTCTGCGAAACTGCATTCTACGCATATTGTTTTAGGAAATAGACGAATTACTTTGTAGATGACGGTGTAAAATTTGAAAGATACTATATAAATTTGTTCAGTGTTCGGCTTGAGTTTTTAAATTATTTCTTTATAAATAAAAGTCGGCTACTGGCCACATTGTGAATAGACTATGTTCGTTCTTCACCGACTTTTTACGACGTTTTGGAGATAACTCTCCAAACTTGATTCTTATGGATTAAACTGAAGAGTAAGAGGAAAACGACGCGTCAAAAACTCGGTGAACTTGAAGCTACGTAAGCTAGATAATGAAATGTATAAATTTTAAGTTAACTATAGTTAGGTGTCTCTGGTGAGAATCCATTGTTGTTGTACTTTGTAAAATCGATAAAACTGTTAGATTTGTACAGAAAAAAAACATTGATTAGGTACAAGGCTTTTCAGGCTCGACCGCTACGGAGTTGATGTTTTTTCACCTATGGTTACTGCATTTTCGATAGTGTTCATTCAATTACAATTTTTGATTGAATTTCAATCGTAATATTATCTTTTAAATGTTTCATTAACTTACAAAAGATTTATTTCTACGGTGGCAAATGTCTACAGGTTGTGGGATTTAAGGGGGATTTACAATTTCACGATATTTTCTCATTCGAATTCGAAATGAAGTAACACTTACGTTAAAAGTATGCAATTTGAACATTTATTTGATATTTAACTACTGAAGTTATTGACAAATCTTCACGGGACTTTATGAATTAAGAATTGTCGAATACTTTAAGTATTGTACACTTTTGTTAGAATACAGTTGTTTAATATTAAAAATACAATATGGCGTCACGGTCAAACAAAGTCATATCGCTAATGCCGAAGTAAATATATTTTTCCTTAATCTAAGGCACCTATATCCTATCTTATGTACAATCGATGTAAAAAAAGAACTGTTTTATACAACACCCGTTTTGTTGATATAAATGTAAATAAATGTCAAGTTAATGTTGTCGTTTTAATGTCATTCAATATTCTGATTGATTCAATAATCAAGCAATGTCGTAATTGTTTGGTTGTAAAATACTGTTTTTTCAGTATGTTTTGCATTTATTCTTAAGGGCGAACACGTTTCAAGATTGGTGTTTAAAAAGTAAATTCAGTTTTTTGAAAATAAACGCCCTGGATTGCTACGCCTTGGTTATTTTTTGAGAACTAAGCACTAAGTTATTTAAGAAAAATAATAATCACCGATGTAGACTAAGCTTAGTCAAGTTTTATAACTACCACCGACTAAGAAATGCTTAAGTTACAGGAAAAAACATCTTGTACATACATATATTTATTATATACACAGATATTTATGGTTAATTTAATGCTTAAACCACACGACAACACAAAGTAAACTAATCACCCTTGAACGCTTTGATTTTGATGAGGCCGTTCTCGTCGGCCAAAGGCAGGATCTCGCAGATCAGAGGCGACTCCACTCCGAGGATGTAGTTGCAGGTCCTGGGCTCCAGAAGGTAAAGGGACACTTGGGCCGGACTAGACGAGTTCTCCAGGCATTTGAGCTTTACTTCCGTCTGACGAGCTTTGCCCGTTTTATCGCAAACGTCGCCGTTCGAGTAGAAATGCGATACCGAAGTGCGGATTTCTGCAGCGAGGAAACCTTTAACTTAGCTTAGACAATGATAAAGGTGCATGTTAGTGTTCCACACTGAACTGTGGACGTCGATTAACAATTATTCGATACTTCCTAGACACGAAAAAGGCACGCAGTTGTCAGCCGTAGGGATAAGAGAACAGATAATAGAGAAACAAGGGGAAATGTTAGGTTAAGTAGCGTCTAACGAACTCACCGACGGGTTTGGGCGCTTTGGCCGGGTTTTCTTTGATCCACTGCAGATGCGCCTCTTCGTCGAACTCCCCCAACGTGAGAGACGTGCGTTCGCCGGCTCGGTCCACGTGGTACTGCACCACGTGTTGGCCGAAGCAGAACTCGTACTTCCACCAGCCGGTGCCCTTACGAGTTCATCGTCTCTTAATTAATCGTAGTTTTTCTCATTCTTTACCTCACATTTACTTTTTAGTAGAGGTATGAAGAAATTGACAGATGAAATATGTGTATTTATTTTAACTATACATAAATTCATAGCAAGACTTGAGTTACTTTGTCCATGGTTAAATGTACAATGAACACTTCTCAATCAAATAAACAATCAATTCCAGAAAGCCTCACGGGTGGGACCCGCCCGTTCGAGTCTCCGTTATGCTCGGTTACACAAATTTGCCTAACTTTTCGATAATCCTAAAAATCATCATAAGATACTGCTAAATATTTCATTATTAATACCTACTAATAAGATTAAATATTTACGAAGTCAAGTTAAGTGAGGGTCCTTCAAGAAAAGAGCGTACCAATTTTTGAAAGGCCGGCAACGCACTCGCGAGCCCTCTGGCATTGAGAGTGTCCATGGGCGGCGGTATCACTTAACATCAGATGAGCCTCTTGCCCGTTTGCCCCCTGTTATATAAAAAAAAAAAGACCTAAGTTAATATTAATAAAAAAGAAGTGTCAATCCATCTAAAAACTCTTACCCCATTCAAACAGTTCTCTCCGTTGAGAAAGGCCCGCACCGGGGAGTCGTCGGTGACGGGAGCGGGTTTGTCTTCTCCTATTTGGTTTTGAACCACTTCGGCCTCTTCAGACAACGGATGCAACTCGAACTTCAAATGAGTTTCACCGTCCTGCAAATATTTATAATATTTTGCTATAATAGATATTCACATAATTCCAATGCAAAATAATATATATACGTCATGCAAGAAGCTGAAAATAAATAATCTTTAATCATGAATATAAAAAAAACATAAAATGCAACACAAACCTTTTCAATCTTTTCAACTTTCAAAACGGCGAGTACATCCTTATCCGCCTCATCCTGGGATCGTTAAAAAGCCAAGAAATAAAAACAAATTATACAAAACGAAAGGCAACAAAAAAGTAGCAAACACCACTAAACACTATTAGACTGTAAGAAAAAGAAATACTAAAGAAATCTAAAGATTTATAAAACGACTACTTCACTAGATGCTTTGTGATGCCAGTTCAACCATTTTCTAATTCTAAAAATTTAATCGTTAATAAAAGCTACCAAAATAAAATCAATCAAAACTCTTCGTAAACAGAATGGGCATTTACTATTGACTAATACAAACCACAGAAATAAATCAACAAGCCCTACATATTTCAAATAATACCTGAAACGGACTCACATTGGTCAATCTTATCGACTGATGATTCAGCCGGAGGCTGTCGACTTCGCTTTTCAATAGGTTTCTCGGTTTCTTGGGTGCATCGCCAATCGGCAGACAATTAATTACATTTTCAGATACATCTTTGGGCTTGAATTGGGGATGCTCGCATAACAATCCCGATAGAATTATAATTTCATATTCACAAGTTGAGGTTTCTTTCATCGAGTAAATCTCATGTTTGCCATGCGTGTAACACACATACAGCACTCTCGCTTTGCGAGGCTGACCGCTCAAATCGCAAACGGTGCCTAGAAATTTAAGTGCTTTTGAATTAAGAAAACCTTTAAAATACCTTGTGCGATGAATTTGAAATTATTTGGCAAATAAACATTAATATGAGAATGACATAAAATAATGACCATCGCTCATAGCAATCTCCACGTAAGGTAACGATGAGCCCTGAACTTTTGTAGTCTTGGGCTTCTCTTTAGCCTCTTGTAAAGCCTTTACTTCACTGCTAAGCTTCAAATGTTCTTCGTCTGACCAACGTCCTAAGAAGAACTCGTGGGTCTTATGTTCTTTACCTGTAAAGTAAAGTTATTAAGGACCTCCTATAAAAATTATAAACAGTAAAATATTAAGTTAAACACAGTATATTTCACTAGAAATATATATGACTAATAGTATAAAATATAATAACAGTATACACTTATTTAAATGAGAGCTGTTGCAACTCATATTACTAAATCACAATCAATCATCCATTATATTTTTATGGGCCTTTTTATTGGCTTGTCATTTGATTTTTTATTGAAGGGGATAATTTTAAAAATTCCTTGACAGAAAGTGCTCTTTTTAACTCAGTCTAAAGGCTGACCCATAATATCTAACTTAATAGATGTCTACATTATCATATAATATGATGTTGTTATTGAGTATAACAGATTTTTAACCACATTACGTATGTTTGGTGCATCTATTTCTTTATCTTGATTCTATCCTCAATGTACACAAACATTACCATTTTAAGAGTCAAGACTATCTTTGTCTTTTCCACACCCAATTAAAGAGCCTTAACAATTGCATAGTATGATGAACTATTTAGTATTTTTGAATATCCTATATGATGGATTCCTGCATAATTTCTATCTCACAGTATAAACTTTTCAAAACAATATCAAAATTGTTTTGCTGTGTGCATTATACTCAAGAACTTATTTTTATAAAATATCACTTTCGTAAATACCTTCCCGATCTTCATGATATTGCCTAACATGCCGTCCGTGACAGACTTCATAGCTCCAGTAGCTTTCTAAACGGTACGAACAAATCTTCTGAGAAAATATTGGCTTCAATAAATCAAATGGTGTTGGACCATCATAATCCTCAACATTTGTTGTTACTTTATCCTTTAATATTGGCAAATGACATTCATATTGCTCCTTTTGTGTTGTTGTCACTTTTAACTGATTTTCCTAAAAATTATTAGTTCAATTAAAGTGTATATTTATATATGTGTGTGTATATTTGGTTAATTAAGTTAAAAGAATACTAAAAATATGTAATACATCATTGCAAAATATAATATATTGCATATTGTACAATTTTAAACCATGGGTTATAGACATTACAAAATACAATCAACAATACACAGCTATCCTAATCCTCCAGCTATAAGCTTTTCTTTGTAGTTATTAGTGTGGTCTAAAATATAATCTCACACATGGACATTTTTAGAGGTTCAAACTGTGCATAAATCCTGTTTTAAAATAAAATGTATATCACACATACATCCAAATTGATTATCACTATTGGAAAGTTAAACTTTAGATATACATATATATATTATATGCAGCACAATGGTTGAGAATTTATTTTACTCACAGTGATTTAAGATTTTATTGAGAAGATATTTTATAATTTTGGTCGACTTACCTCAGGTTTAATTTCTTTAATATTTACTAAATTCTCTAACACTCCTGGAGAGCCAGGCCAATTGATTGAAAATAGAATGGTGTCGTCAAATCCTTTGTAATCATGATGTACAGAAAGAGAACTTCCAATTAATAAAAAAGTTAAAAACAAAATATTCATGGTTTTTTATCTTGTCCTTTAAGTAAATGTATTAAAAGTTCATTATAATCTATTCGTAAAGGTACGTTGTAAAATCTGGACTTTATGATATAAATATAACACTGTGGAATAAAAAAAACAAAGTAGTAAATTTACATATTGTTCGTAAATTAACTATTATTCAAATAGATGAAACACTTAAATTTTAATAAAATATTTATTTATTGGTTGATAAACTCTGGATAGTTGACTGAGTTGGAGAAACGTAATTTGTCAATATTATAACGACCAACGACAATGTGTGTCAGAACTCAGAAGTCACTTCACTTCACTTTATTTATAATGGCGACATCTGTGTAAATCACAATTCCGCCAATGTCACGTTCTAAGTCTTCACACGGTGAGGATAGATTTAGGGTATGTTCCGATATACACTGCGAGTACTGTATAGTGCTCCCACTGTTCAAAAATTCGTTCCACTATGGACGCCAGTATACAGCCGCAGCGTCCTAGGGAAATATATGACGTCACAAATCCCCGCTATACTTCTACTGCGAGCACTGGCGTTTTCGAGGTAAGGTACTCGCAGTGCTTTGATCACGTGATCAATCAAAACCACTTGAATGCCTAACGGCTGATATATAATAATAATAATAATAATAATATAGCCTTTAAATTCCGAAACTCTGTCATTTTATATATCTGAACTTTAATATATTTTCACTCCAGTATATCTCGGAGTTCGGTTTGCCTCTTGGCAAAGGCCTCCTCTAACCCTTTCCACTGTTCTCTATCTTTTGCGACTCTTCTCCAGTTGTAGCCTGCTGTTAGTTTCAGCTCGTCCTCCCATCTCTTGCGTGGTCGACCTCTTCTTCGTTTTCCGTCTCTAGGGTACCATTCCGTCACAATTTTGCTCCATTTTTCATGAGGGCTCCGTAGCATATGACCCGTCCATCTCCATTTCATTTGGTCAATCTTAGTGAGAATGTCTGTCACACCTGTTCTAGCTCTTATGTCTGAGTTTATTTGTTTATCTAATTTTCTTATGCTCAGCATGCTTCTTTCCATGGCTCTTTGGCAGTTTGCTAACATATCCCTGTGCTGGTTAGATAGTGCCCAAGTTTCGCAGCCATAGGTAAGGCAGGGTAGGATACATGTGTTAAAGACTTTTCTCTTTATTTTTTTGCTGAAATCTGTTGTTTTCATGATCTCCCTCAGTGACCAATATCTTTTCCATCCATTTGCTATTCTTCTTTTGATCTCTTTGGTGGTTATATCAGTTAGAGAGATAATTTGCCCCAGATAAATGTACTCTTCAACGTATTCTAGAGGTTGATTATTAAGTTTTATTTCGTATGGGACTGAATTTGATAGTAGCTTTGTTTTGCTTGTGTTCATTTTCAGGCCTACTTTCTCACTTTCTTTGTTTAAGTCTAGTATCATTTCTCCAAGTTTATGAGGGTTCTCTTCGAACAATACAATGTCGTCTGCAAATCGAAGATGATGTAGTTTTCTCCCATCTATATTTAGTCCAAATTCATTCCATTCTAGTTTTCGGAATATGTTTTCAAGCACAGCAGAAAATAGCTTGGGAGATAATGGGTCCCCTTGTCTGACACCTCTTTCGATTTTAAATGTCTTTCCGAGTGTTTCCATTTGTATTCTTGCATTGCAGTTAGCATATATTTGTTTTATGATGTTTATATAGGCCCTGGATACTCCTTGATTTTCTAAGCTTTCCCAAATCACTTCATGTTTGATGCTGTCAAAAGCTTTGGTGTAATCTATAAAAGCCATATACACTGTTTTGTTATATTCACTGTATTTTTCTATGATTTGTTTGACTGTGTGTATATGATCTATCGTTGCGAAGTTTTTCCTAAATCCGGCCTGTTCCATTGGTTGGCTCTCGTCTAATGTGGTGCTTAATCGATCTAGTAATATCTTGGAGAAAACCTTATATATGTTTGACATCAGGCTTATTGGTCTATAGTTGGATAGGTCTTCCTTTGAGCCTTTTTTGTATATAAGAATTATGTGCGAGGTTTGCCATTGTTCAGGAATCTGTTCTGATGTTAGGATGTCGTTAAAGATTTTCGTCAGAATGGGCACCAGGGGGTCTAGCCATATTGGTGTCGAAAAGTATTCTACATACACTACCGCTTTTGCGTAATTGTATTGTCGAAAACGCTTCGTTCGTAGCCAAGAGACATGTCGATACATTACCGCAAAGTCGACAGCGTAGATGCGAGCTGCTGTTCGTAGCACCTTATTCCGTCATATTGTCTCTGGATTAAATGTATTCCTAATGTCACTTTTATAAACAAATAAAAGTTAAAACTTTACAATATTATTGTAAATTTGCAATTGGAAGCTACAAAAGGGACATTAGAATGTCAGCAAGGTCGGAACAATTTTCGATTTAAGTGGAATTTACGGAAGGTGCAAAGTGAATATATGAATTTTAATTGCATGTTTAAATTAATTATGGTTTGTTTCATGTTTTCTCAGAAATTTAAGGCTACAAATAAATACAATATTTTGAAATTGCATAATCGCGATATATAATAATTAGTAGTACTCATACTTTGATATTTTTAGGATTTGACCTCACAACTAATCTACAAAATGAAGAAGCAACATATTTTGTTACCGCTTAGAAGAAACAATAAAAATAGTACTGTGTATTGATAAATAAAGAGTGAAAATAAGGTTGACTAGAAGTTGATAAAGTCCAAGGAATTAAAAAACAATAGAAAAAAAACGTAGACTAGTGTGAACACTGAAATTAGAGTTTGATTTAAGCTTTAATTAGGTTTGGTGTTTGTGCTTGAACATTTTTAATGTCAATTTGAAAGCAGATTTATATATAAGTGTAGATTTTATTAGTGATTTGCTACTAGTTGGAATTATCTCTGTTTATGTCCAACAAACAATTTCAGTTTAAGTTAGAGTCATAAAAGTTGATTGTTTATAATATATTTATACTTTTAGAAAGTGAGAATTGAAAAACAGCAAGTACTCAATGAAATGAAAAGAGGAATTAATAAAAATTATAAAATATAAACTTAGTCTGGTATGAAATTATAACCCTTAATCAACCTTTGATTCCATATTGATGCTCCAACATCTTAGATATAATAGATATAAATTTAAGTTTGATGCTGATTTTAAGTTAATATTTATGTCAATTAACTTTTGGTTATATCAGTGATTTGCTACTAGTTAATATGTAAATGCAAAATCTGTTTAAGTAAGAAATGAATAAACATTGTATGTTATGTATTTGTCAGTTTTATTTTTGGTAATTTACCTATGTCTTCTTTAGTAGGAAAAGCCATTAAAGTGGTTCACAATATTAGTTTATTTTACAAGAATATACAGATAATGCATATATGAATTACCCATACCTACTAATAGTTAGGAATATTAAACAAACAGGTAGCAAAATAAAAATGTTTCAGTTATGGTTATTTTTTATTAAAATAAGGCACCAAATATCTTCCTTAACATAATGCAGTCTACATAGAAAAATAAGCATATGTAACAACTTATTAAACAATACAGACATTACTACTGAACACACGCAGGTGCACCAAATTAAATGCATTACTACCTAATGATGTATTCATATATGTAGATAATTAACTAATGTAAGTGTTAATTTGCAGCAATGTCAATATCTTGTTTGTGTGCTGTTATATACAAAAAAAATTTCAATTCATAAAACCTAACGTTAGATGTTGTGATGATTTCATAAAATTACTACAACTAATACAGTTACTATGAATACATCCTGGGCGATTAAAAAAAATAGTGATTGTTTCCTTAACACAACAATTGTAAATAATAATAGTTATTGTAAAGATATAATTCTTCCCAAAATCTACAAATGCAGTTTGTTTATATACTCATTAACATTCAAACTGCTGAACTTATTAAGATTAAATGTGGAAGTACATAGTTTCAGTTACTGTTTCCTGTTCTTGAGGTAATGTTACTTAACCAACCATTATTTTATACTCCACTTGTCTTATTTTTTACATTATTCATAAAATGCTTCATTCCTCATCAAATTCATTTTCAGGTACATAATATAACACTTAAATTAATTAAAAGATAAGACTTTAATAAAACTTGTCCATTTGTGGTCTTTTTTAATATTTTTAGTTGTCTTATTAGCTTCTCTTTTTCTGAAAAGAAAATATTTTAGTTAGTACTTGGATCAAATAGAAAACTGACAAACTAAACTGTAAGACCGGTCCAAGGTTTGTTCAATAGGTAACTTTAATATTAAAACTCTTTACTTAAAAATATACTTAATTTGTCACTTTGCTGCTTATTGTCAATTAAAGTTTTTAATAACCAAACAATGCCAGTAACACCCAAGGGACTTGAATTCAAACTTCTCATTCATTAACAATATTATGATAAACTTCTCTAGTATATTAACTTAGTAAATAATTAAAGAAAATATCTGCTTACCATTACTTAGTATTGCTCACTAAATTGTATATTTGCAAAGTTCATGAAGTATATATCCACTTTATTTGATTAATTTAAATCAATATTATATCATTAGCTTCTATTATAATTACAATAAAATATATTTAGAACTTCTAATTATGTTCATTAGTGACTGCTTTCTCATCTGAAATATACAAATAAAATGTACAATCATTTTACTTTGTGATTACATAATATAAGCAATATTAAATGGTATATGTATTTTTCAAATTAAAGAACAATTTCATGAACTTACATGCAATATAAATATCAATAAAAGATATCCAATATAAACAGGATTTACCTCTACTAATTTGCTGATTTTCTTGATATTTTCATTTTTATCTGTGTCTATTATGTTATCCTCGCATTGATTCATAGAAAAACTAAAACGCTTAACTTAAATATATTAACTCTAGTTTAAATTATTATAATTACACGAGAACGTTAAAAAAAGACAGATAACAAATTAAAACCATTTCGTTAAAACTTTCAAAATATGACATGTTTTTAAA